AACAACAACAACAACAGACAACAACAACAACAACAACGGAGTTGTAGAGAGGCGAAAGGGAGATGGACTCGGGCCGCAGTGTGGCTCGCCAGGGCCGTGGACGTCGCTCGCCTCGTCACCCTGATCTTTGAAGATTGGGCTCCGCGAACGAGCAGCCGAAGCGGAGGGGGCTGTCGTGCGACACGCCACCGGCCAGGGCCCAGGGCCCAGGGCCCAGGGCCAGAGCCAAGAGCCAAACCCGTCACGGGCGCGGGACGCCGTGCTCTGCTCCGCTCTCTCGATTCCCCTCGCGCCGATTACACAGGCGCACGCACACACACACACACTAAGTTGTTAAACCCAAAGACTTGACACGTATTTCTGTATGTATGTGGACGCGCTGAATCCGAATCTAAAGCTGGAATTGCCTCACCACAACCCAGTTCTTTTTAAATCGTGAGAAAACACAGTGAAATTGTAGATTGTAAATTTCACGGTGAATTTTTAATGGGAAACATTTTTCCTTCTTCCTGGAAAATCTGAAATTGAATCGTGGTTATTACAATGGACATCTTCAATTCGAAGATGTCACATCACTTTAGTGCATCTGCTCATGCGCAGAAGATGGAGGTTGCTGACGACTGCTGCCCGCTAAGGCGTGCTAAGTCCCTCGAGTACGACAACGCTGAAGTTTCCACGAAGTGATTGCGCATTGCGACGGTTTCGGATTTTTTTATGGATATCCGATAAGCATTGAAAGACGAAACTATCACTAAGGGATAAGGAAATTTCTAATAATGAAAGCTAAATAAAGATAAAGAAAACCTAGTGGTGGTTCAACAGCACATATTTTCCCACATGACTTGTAACGACTACGCATTATTATACGAAGGCTTGAACATGCAGAAGTGTTTCCAACTAGCATTCTTTTTCCGCGCCAAGATTCGAACTCGCCATGCCCTATACCGCTAAGCAATCTAGCCGCTCGGGCGTACTTTTCCTCACGTTTAAAAAACTAATGGTGTTCCAAGGCATAATCCTGTTTTGAAAAAAAAAAAGATTTTTATAAAATTAATCTGGAATATATCTCTTCAACTCTGCAGCAGTTTACTTCAAAAACAAGGCATTTTCTCCTCGCCAACTCCTAGTGTTCCATTCCCAGTTACAGCTTCCGTAGACTACAAATCACATGCAAAAGAGAACACGCGTGTCATCGCCGTGGGTTTGCGCTCGTCGTCTTCCTCTTCCTTCGACGTCGCCCACCGCGGTCTCTCTCGCCCGCAGGCCATCGCCCCTCCCACGGCAGTCGCCCACGCCCCAGCCACTGGCTCGACCCCAATTCACGGGAGGCGCCGCGCCTACCCGCGACTGAAGGTGTCACCCACTCGCCGCCTATGTCGCCTAGCGGTGGCCTGCCGTTTGGCGGAGCATGGCCTTAGATTAAACGGATCGTTACGTAAACTGTATTCTCTATATTTAGCTAATCAACTAAAAACGACACATACATTTTTACAGTTTTCAAGCTGAATAAATTGTGTTTTTTTTTCTTTTTCGGTGAACTTTCGTCCAAATAACGGTGATATCTATGACTCTGAAGTCTAGACATCATCTTTCCCATTGCACATGTCCTGTTCACGTGGATCTTCGACGGGAAAGACATTGCTTGTAGCCTAGTTTTACATTATTAAAAGTACGCCGATAAGCAGCAGAGGTAAATTATGTATTGTGAAAGGATGATTAAGAAAGACAAATGTGCATCAAGGCCGAACACATACTATTACGCCCAAAGATGAAATTGCAGCTTTCTCTCCCCACATGCCAAACGAGTCTATTACAATCTGCAAATCACGCGAACCGCCGTCTGAAACCATCCTGCAACTCTCCTCCACAACACTGGCTCTCGAAACCTCAAGTTCCAACCGCTGAAAGTGCATCAGCGAGTGAAATGTTTTTGTTTCTCAGCCCCGAAACGCCCTTCGCGCGACTAATTTCTTTCCTGGGAGAGGACCAGCGCTCGTGGTCGCGTGTGCGACTATCTCTCCCGGCGCGAGAAGCCGTCCTGCGGGGCCTGGGTTCGAAGGCGGCCGCCGAGGACGCCCGGTGCCGAACAATGGCGGGGCCTTTTTGCAGACGCGCGCTGCACTTTTATGCGTTCCACGAAGCGGCACGCGGCGACGCGCTGCCCGGGACGCGTCAAGGGCACCCGGGAGATGCGGCTCCGTCGCCCCGTCCCGCTCCACGCCCCACCCCTCGACTCGGCCTCGTCGGCACGCCTCTCCCCGCCCCCACTCTCCCCTGCCCGCGGCACTCGGTCCCGTTCGTCACGATTCGTTCCGACCCGTCCCGTTCCGACCCTCCCCAATGCATTCCATCCCGGCCCGCCACGTCCCCTCCTGTTCTGCCCTACCCTATCCCGTCCCATCCCATCTCCTTACCCTGCCTGGCCCGCCCTGCTCCTCCGCCTTGTCCCGTCCCAATCTGCGCCTACCCCGCGCCACCCCACCACATACCGCCCTAACGTGTCTTGCCCTGCCCCACCATTCCCCGTCCTGTCGCATTCCAACCCACCCTGTCTGGCTCACTCCTCTCCGCCTTGCCCCGTCCACTGTGTATCCGACCTCGTGCCATCTTATTCTGTTCAGCTCTCTGACGTTATCACAGAAACCACGCCCCCGCTACTTGTACTCAGCCTGCTTTGTGCTGCCCCCTTCTGTTTCGCATTTCGTCCTCCCCCCCGCTCCCCCCTCCGCCCCTTGCCTCGTCCATCTCGTTCCCTCTCTAATACCACCCTGTCCTCCTGTGACTCTTACTAGTCCCATATTGCCTCGTTCAGGCCAATTATTGATCTTTCTGTCTCCTTCATGCCTCGCAACATCCAGGCGTTGCTCTTCCTCATATAGCGCTCACTTCGCGTCTTCCCTACAAATCGTAAGACCTGCTCCTTCCCCGTTACTCGTAGCCCCGCATTGCTTACCTCACACCGGATTCCTCAACCCAGGTGGCCATGAAGATTTCTGTTGCAGCGCATGCGCAGTATTATCTAAGAATTGGTAAACACGTGAGGAATGTTGCACATGCATATTTGAGTTAGAGGCGTGTGCCTGTTGTGGCTTTCTGTCACGCCTCATTTGGCTAAACAATGTTAAAACTGCCCGAATGTGGAAACGTTGAGGTAAGTAAAATAGGGTTCGTATGTGAAAACAAATGTGACCGAGACGTGAAAAAATGGAAAACGTGTGGCTACACTCTATGAAAAGTTTATTTACAAAGAAAGTGAAAAAATCGTACATGATCCACGTTTTATAGCCTCGTGCAATTATCTTTGTATAGGAATTACATTCATTGCATGCGAAGAATGTGCACCACCTCACCTAGTACATGTGTTGTTGAGCTTGTTTAATAGAACTTTGACCCAGAATAGAGATGCAAATGAAGGTATGCAGTGGAATATGGGACTCCTTATTCTATTGCAGTTTTCTCTTTCCAAAAGACTCCGAACATTTTTTCCTCCAGAAAACTCCTGGAACTCCATATTTCTACTGCAGTTTTCTCTTTCCAAAAAACTCCGAAAATTTTTCCCCCCAGAAAACGCCTTACGAGCGCGTAGTTTAGTCTCTGCGGGTAGACTTCGCACTCGTTTCAACAATGAACAGCACACCTTCATCCCCACACTCCCACACGGCTAGAGGGCAATTATTCGTCGTTTTATTGCGCGGCGGCCACCTATCATTAGCGGGTTCCGCGAAAGACGTCGCCGGGGGCGGATGCGAGCTGGGAAACAAGAAAGGGAAGAAAGAACACGCGAGAAAAACCACTGCCCGACGACGAAGATCAACGCAGTTAGGAGCGAGCGCCTTTTTTCAACTTTCCCCCCGACAGTAGCCCTGGCGAGGCGGGAGTTTATTTTCTTGTTGGGGTACATACGCCTCAGCTCTATGGCTTATGCGGCAAAGAAGGGGGCAGTGCTTACTTACTAACTTATTCCTAACAACCTATGAATGAAGCTGGCACTTTGGCCGGCAACCTAAGATTAACACAAGTCTTTGTTTTTTTCTTCATGCTTATTAGTTTTAGTTTTCTTGGGTATTTTTTGGAGCGAGCGCCGCGGCGTTTAAAGATTCGGACAGAGAAGCGGAGCGGGGGTGGGAATGGGGGCGGGGATCCATCGGAGGCAGGAGGTGGCCGGGTAAGGGGTGGGGGTGGTGAGCGGAAACGTGAGAAAATTAACGAATGCAAAGGAATTGGCTGGCTGGCTGCGATTGTATGATGTAGGGAATACACAAATGCTTCATTAACAGCTAATTGTATTTCACAGTTCCTTACATTAATATTCTCTTAATCTTACTGCGTAATGGGGATTCTCTTTTAGATGTGATGCGATGTGTAGAATTAGTTATGAAAAAATTGAGAACGCTTAAAAAAAATGTTGACTTTGGGGAAGGGCATGGTTTCCATCCTCTCCTCGCTCTCCTGTATCCAATACTGATTCCGTTTTCTTGTGTTATTCAGAAATTTTACAATTTTTGTCTAGGGCTTTTATCCAGCCGATAACCCTCTACGTCCCATCCCATCCCATGGGATGCATAATCGATCGTACGTACACTACATACCAACACACTTACGGTCTCCTCTGATCTGGGACCAGCTACGTCCTCTGCTACAATACACACATGAACAAAGGACAAACAACCATGCCCAAGGCGGGACTCTAACCCGCGAACCTCCGGAAGCGCTGGCTCGGTTCTTAGCAACCTCGGTCATCCAGGCTCGCCAAAGTACGATTTTTAATTTTTTTAAATTTATTATTTATTTTTTCTTTTGATTACTCCACGGTAACGCCCCTTGTGGCCCTAGAGATGGACTTTTAAATCGCGGCTTAAAGGCCGGCGGCGGGGCTGAGGCTGCTGAGGCGGCGGCGCGTGGAAGTGGGGCGGCGAGGCCGCGCCCGCGGCGGCCAATGGCGGCACCCGCCGCGCTCACCGCCTTATAGGGCGGGCGGCGAGGCGGCGAGGCGCGGACCCGCCGAACAGGTACGGCCACGCGGCGGCGGCGCGGGCGAAGAGACCGGTCGCTGGATGCTGCGCGGGGTCACCTTCTGCTTCGGCCTCGAACTCCGCCCGCTGCGCTGCCCGCTGGCCACGGTGCGCGATTGAAGAGCTCATTTCCAACGCGACGTTTCTGTTCTATATAGAAATAAAAACGAATGTGTGCATCTGTAGCTACTTAGCTGTTCGTGTCCTAGGCACAGGTGCCAACGATTCTGTTGCCGTTCTGCGACCTTCCTCAGGGCGAAATGCGAAGGAATGTGCGTGTGTCTGGCACATACGGTCGCAAAAAATTCGCGACCGATTTCGCTGAAATGTTCACACTTTGTTCTAATTAGTATCCGGAGTATTTAAAGAGTGGTTTAAATTAAAGTGGGCATGTGGGGGCGTTGTTTTTGTGGAATTAATTGACGAGGTGAGCGCTAGGTCCTTCCCAGAGGACCTTCCTTGAAGGACGATCTATGAATATCTTTTGAAACTGCACTCCTCGTTTCTACTCACAATATCGAATAACATCGAAGTTGAAATCTAGAAAGCAGGAACTCTGAACCAAATACTGGCGGTGCATAACGGTATTTGAATATTTGATTTTTTAAGTGTGGTGTAATACAGTAAAGTGTAGTTAACACATAGTAGTTAATGTTCATTCAATAAACTGATTATGAAATTTAATTGTAATGTAATGAAATTTAATTATAATGATTTAATACACTGCTATAGCGATACATGGCCGGGTCCGCTAGTCGCTAATAAACATTTTTTTTTCAGTAAGTGAGAAGTATCAAATTAAGCCTTTTATTTCAAAACAGGATTCAACGGTTATGCGATACCGATTATCTCAGGAGAACAGAAATTCTTTAGCGCAGTAGTTGGCAGCATGACGTAGAATCGACATAAGACTATATTGGAACGTAAAACTAGAAAAAAATCTGATATAGAATTAACTGGCAACTCTAATGCAAAGGCGGTTCACACATGCGACATTCGGCGAATGGCGGCTGCTCTTCGAATTCAGAGTAATGAGGATGAACTGCTTGCAATTGCTGAGCGCCAATCTTTCTATGCTTGTTCTATCCAGAATATGTCGGTCTTTTGAGGCACATCAAAGAAAGTGAATATTCGCCAAATACCTAGGCTGTTTGCGATTCGGTGTGCGTCGTTGGGTACTGGCCGAATGCCGACATTGTGGAGGCAGCTTCACACATTCAGCATTCGACAAGCTGAGAGCTACTGGTCGCCCAATCACGAACAGCTGATGTGTTCGGCGAATGTTCGCTTCCTTTGATGTGTCCAAAAGAGAAACGCGGAGGTTAGGGCGAGCACCGAAAGTTAGTCACTCCACAAACAGCAAGCAACTCATCCACACTACTTAGGATTCGGAGAGTGGTTGCTCGCTACTTGCCGAAAAACGAATGTGTGGAGCCGCCTTGACGCCGTCGAGAAACTGCAACTACAGAATAGTAGTTCTGGTTTGGCCCATCCACATTTATGCACCACAGTTTCAACATTCAATAGCTACTTTTTTATTGTTTGTTCAAGTGCTTCTCAAGTATACAGAAGTTTGCAATCATTGTCCACAAACCTCTAATAAAGGTCATTAAAAACTCTAAAACACTTGGGTATGTTCTCGGGTTTGCAACAACTGAAGTACAAAATAATTCCAATAATTAAAAACTGTTTTCTTTTCATAGAGCCAAATTGCACCTTCATGAAACTTCCTCTCTTAGAACACTGCCAAATCTATTTCAAAATGTCGGTTATACAATTCCCGGGATATTCTTTTCCTGAATGAGCGATCAATTTTTTGCGCCATATAATCCGAGTTTTTAACGTTCGAGTACGATTGTGTTGCATTTCTGCAAATCTACAACTGTAGTCAGTGCCACTAGTTTAAACACACATAATCTACAGTCGGAACGGAGACCAAAATGTTTAGATATAACCACGTTGCTGAAAGTCTGTGGGTTGCTTACTGAAAATCACTTCGGTGGATTCGAACCTCTGATCTCATCTAAAAGTTCTCAAAGTTGCGACATTAAAGCTGAAATTCAAAGCGACATCAAAGTTGCCTGCGGTGCAGAAACGCCTAGTGTCCGGGAGAGTACGATATCTGCGGAGATTTCAGCAGCAACTGAGGAGACAAAGTAGAGGAAGAAGAAATATCCAAGAAGCAGTCAGGCCGAGGGGCGGATGGGGTCCCGTCGGGGCGGTCTTCCACAAAAGGGAGTGTGGGAGCGGCGAGAAAGCGGTGGTTACCTTAAGCGTCGTGTTTGTCGGGGACGTAACAAAGCGCCGATGGCTGGACGTGAGGGGTGTGTTAAGTAGGCGGCGCCGGCTCTCGGTTTGGCAGTCGTTGGAAACTTTGTTTTGCCCTGAGAAGATGATGTACCGATATTTAAATATCTTAGCTGAGCACACATTGTTTTCATTCAAATGGATGTACTCCATTCTCATCGGCCTTATGGTACATAGTAGTATGCACTTTTTAGCTCAACAGACAACTTTCTTGAATAATATAAGTTTATAGAGGAACTTTTATGCTTGCGTAGCCTTTGTAAAAGATCTAGTGTATGTAACCATTTCGAAGAATCTCGTCTTCCAATTCTTTCACGACATAGGTCTCGCACTTAAATAGCACTATTCCATGGAAAGAATAAGGACTAGAAATTAAAGAGACGGGACTTTAATTATTTTTTACTTTTTGTAGTGTGTCCGACATTTTTGCATTTTTTAAATCTGCTGGTAGGCATGACGGGGTAATTAGAAGCGTTGCAGTACTCTGTATTCTTGTAGCACCGATCCTTTTGTTTTGGCTCATATTAGTGCTTGTAAGGAGGAAGGGGAATCGATGTTATACTAGCTTAGATATCAAATACAAAAGTGGATTTCGGTTATAGAAACTATAATTTTCGATGATAATAAATCTATTTTCACAGTTATAACAGCGTTCACTCTTTCCTCCCCTGTTGACACGCCCTACAATTTGTCTGCATTAAAATTATAGAGGGAAGAAACACTTATTTCTCCTACGGTACTCTACAGTTCTACTACCAATGCGTAGCCGATGGTGGAGGGAGAGTGGACAACACCACACGTTGTCTCTGCACACATGCGACTCCACAATTCATTTCAATTCTCTGTAAAACGAATTCATCTAATTTAAACTTTCTGAACTTACTGCAAAGATGTACTGAGAAACGCAGTATTAAAATCAACAAATAACGGGGGAAATATAATTATGTCACATAACAAAATGATAAATTCTGTGACATGACCACTTCAAATGGCATTTTATTCTGTTTTACATGTTGATCTCTCTGTTCTCAAATATCCCACCCACGCAATCACTGTTACCTGTCCAGCCAGCGGTCTCTTAGCTACAGGGCCGGATTAATGTTTTAAGAGTCACTAAGAATAACCACGTAATACAAAAAATATAAAATAATATTAAAAAATTAAATAATATAAAAATTAAACAGAAATAATCAATACAATTGTGGAAATTAAATAATAGCTTTGAAATTTCTCAAATTAATACAAAAACATTTTTAGTTATTCACAACATGCGCATAAACTTTCGTTTAAAAAGCAGCTGAGGGGACGCCATACTCGGCGAAAATCTGGCACGAGCTGCGTCTGTTCATGAAATTCATCGCGTACCTCGGCCGCCCCGATCTGCCGCTGCGGTTTCCCCGCTGTCTTCCCAGAGGGACCAGGCACCAGTCCGGCCATCGAGGCACCGGCTCCGCGGCTGCCGCCCGCTGGCCCTCCAACCGCCCCGTTCGGCCGAAGGCTGCGAGCCGCCACACCCTCCGTGTCAAACCGTCAGGCTTTTACGACCACCGCCGCGTGCGACTCCTCGCCCCGCCCCCCCGCCCCCGCCCCGGCCCCGCCCGACCACCGCCCTCTGACTCTTTTATGGGGCGCGCGCTGAAGCCCCGGCAGCCGCATCATAAAGGCAGACCAAGTGATTACTTCATGTCTCGTGCCGTAAAGCCACAGCTGCTGACACGGGGTCTCGTAGAGGACTCCTCATAATGCGAGTTGTAATGCACTCTGACATTAGTGGTCAAGATGCTTACATAATCCACAAATCGGTTGGAAACGAAATTGCGAGGTAAAATGCATCAGAAATGAAGTTCAGTTCTTCTGGACACTTCCTGGTTGTTGGCGGAGATGAATGACAGTTGCTCATGAACATGGATGTGCTTTCAACGACAATGGACAGCATGTAGTGTCATATTTGGTCTTGTGTGGAACCTGCGTCGAATTACATAATGCGTGCTGCACATTCCTTGGAAACACATGGTAATTTAAAGATTATGTGCCATTTTATTTCCTTTTATTCATACATCTTTCGGGTCTAATTTCAGAATAAATAATTCTATGAATTTTCGTAAACTTAAAACCCAATCCGAACTTCCATCAATGTATTTACGAAAGTCTCCTGGCACCCCGCATTCCCTTCCATAATTAGCTTCCTTTCCTTACATGAATCGTCATGTCTGCCTCCGTGAATAGTTACATGTTAACCGCAGCGTTATCGGTATAGCATTACCGTAAATCATTTTGCGATTCTCGTACAATATTAGAGATTGCTTTCATCTTCGGAACGTTCCCAAGTTTTCCGCTCCGTCCCAGTACATCCACGCGCGTTAACGAGCCAGCAGAAAGGAGCAGCCTCTCCCAGGCGCTTAGCAATTCAATTAAGCGAGCTCCGATGCAGCATCACGGAGCTTCACGGAGAACGGCGCTTCGCCACCGAGAGAGAGAGGCGGCCTTGGAACCGCGGCCCACCGGAGGCCAGTCGTAATATGTGGAGCCATTGCGCCAGGCCGTGTAATTGCTAATGCGATTTCCTGCCGACTTGCATTTCCTCTCGGCGGCGCATGCGCTGCGACGACTGCCTGCGCATGAGAATAATTGCGGGCGGGAACCGCTTTGTGCCCCCCGGAGCAAAAATCACTGCGCGCACCTGGAGATAGGAGAAATAATTAAAATGCAAAGGTTTAAAGGGGACGAAGCGGTACAGTGGTCAAGATGAAGCGCTCCCAAGTAACGACATGCATCCGAGTAGGAATTTAGTGATTAACTTGATTGTATCACTGCCAAGAGAGAATACATCATTCTCGCTCGCC